GCCGGGGGACGCCTGGCTGCTCCTGGGGCGCAGGCATGGCCCCCCTGCTAAACGCGCTGGTTCCTGCGGCTCCAGCACTGACTATGGGGCATCGCAGCAATGTTTTCCAAGGACCTACAAGTGCCTCTTCTGCTGCCCCAAGACCTGTTCACCTCGTTCATGCTGGCTTGCAGCTCCCTAGCCAGCCTTGCCCTTTTTTTATGATCGTTGCAATATTTCAGGGTTTTTTTTGCTGGGCTCTCTTGGCCTGTAAATTCTACTGTGGAAGTTTTTTTCCACAAAAACAGGTTGTGGCTTCTGCTGGGAACATTTCAAATCCAGTGGAAAAACATTCTGGCTTCAAGGCTGTGCTGTCCTGCAAAAACTCTCCCCTCGCAGATCAAAGGTTGAGCCCTGGAAGCTGCTGAAATACGTGAGGAGTCCTGTCTGACCCGTGTTTCTGCATGTCCTAGGTTTTGCTCCATTTCAGTTGTGCCCGGAGCAGGTGGCTACCCCTTCAGCGATCACTTTCCTGCACGCTTCTCAGGGGTGGCTGTGTTTCTGCCTTCCTGCGTGCAGTTCTGCTCTGCTGATTTCTGCTTTCGTACCCGACGTTTCCTCTCTCATGCGACTGTTTTAGAAGTTTTCATGTGTAGCAGCTGGTTGCACCCAGCTTTCGTAGCATTGAAAAGAAGATCATGAAACATAGTCATCATCGGTGACTTTGTCCTGCCTGCCACTGCAAAGCAAAAGGGAAGCACACCTTGTACATATATAAAGCCAAGAATTTATTGCTGTGCTCCCAGCACAGACCAGATACTTGTTACTGCTGTCTGCATAAAACTACGGTTGTGCCACACACAGATAAGCAAAGGTAAAGCAAACTCGCCATAGACACCCGGTCAGTCACAGAAATCGGCATCGCAGCGAGATCGAGCCAGCGAAGCCCAGACAGAGCCCGTCCGACCAGCCCCAGCGCTGCCTTGCAAACTTGGTGCAGAGCTGATGGCCCGTGGCAGGGGATGGCCATTGGCAATGCTGGGCTGCACGGCCGAGAAATGCCCCGGTGGCATCTGCGGGTGGGTGGGGACAGGGGCTTCTCCAGCGCAGGTGGAAGTGTCCGGGAGAGCAGAGAGCAGGGCTGTTCTGGTGATGCTCTGCGGGGGAAAGAGCCGCATCATGAATTGATTCCGTGAAGTTTGGCTTTTTCAGTACAGGCTTTTTCTTTTTTAAAAAGCTTAAAGAGGCAGAAATCACACCCCCTCAGGTTTGTGCAAATGAAATGTTCTCCTAGCCTTGAGAGGTGGTTTTGCCCAGCTCTGTTTATAAATAGCTGCCTGTGGTGGGAGGAACATGCAGACACTTCTTCCTTTTTCCAAGTCCAGCTATGAACTCTGCCAGCTTAAAAATACCGCTGGGGATGCCGCAGCATCCGAGCAGCTTCCAGGCTCTCAGTCACCGTGATGACCTGGGGGTGACGGGCGGCCCCTCAGCTCCTGGGGACAGTCTGGGGAGAACAACCTGTGCGGGCAAATGCCTTCAAACAGGCAGGAGCTGCTCTCCCTTCATCAGCAATCCCTTCGGGCTCCTTGCGTAGTGTTTGCCAGGAAGAAAGCAGCAGCTGCCTATTTTTAACACTGTCAAATCTTTAATTGCTCTGCATGTGCCCATGGTTTGTAACTAGCGTGCCCTTGCTGCATCACTCTGGCATGTACTCCTGTTTATCAGAGGGAACACGCTGCTCCTTGTGCAGCTCCCCTCTGAAGCCAAGCACGGCCAGCAGAAGCATCGGGGCAGCAGCAGCATCCCGCCCCCGAGAACGTGCAAGGGCTGGCTGGTGCCTGACATAGCTCTGCCAGGGGGAACCCCCGTGTTTCTGCCTTTCCTTCCATTCCTCCACTGGGTGAAAAGTTAAAATTCTGAAATTTTATACAGAAGACGAATCCCAAGGTACATTTTTTCATAAACACAAGGTATTTATCTTGCTGACAAAATGGAAATGCTTGATTGTAATTTGTTGACATGATCCACAGGAGTTTTTCTCTGGGTGTTCAAGTGAAATGAAATCCCTCCTGGCTGTGCGCAGCAGTGGGAACGTTTGTCTCCAGTGCCACCGTGCCTCTCATCCTGCCCTGGCTTTCAGGTGGCATTGCATCTCCCATGGTGATCCCGGGTTACATGGCTTCTGCTCTAGAGCTGCTCCAGTGCCCGTGCATGGTGCACGTGCTCCCCCAGGCAGCCAGATGTGTGCACGAGCTGCTCCTGGAAACCTGTGACTGGAGCAGAAATTGGGGAGCAGAGTGTTAACGACAGAGGAGCCTACAGAGCTCTGCAAACACCCTGCAAACACCCTGCAAACAAACACCCTGCCACGGCGGCCTCTTCCTATTTCTGGAATGAATTGGAATTGCTGTGGCTCTAATGACTTACCTCACCGACTTTCAAATCCCTGCTGTGCCCCAACGCCTCTGAAATCCCAGGTGCTATTTCTGAAATTTTAGCAAAGGATAGCTCGAAGGGAAACTTCCTGCATTAAAGGTCACACGGAAAATGATTTATAATAGATTCATGCAAATCGTGGTTTGACCACGAGGCGCTCATTTGGGAAAATGTGAATTGTCGAGAATTGGTTGTGCAACCAATAGGTGGCACCAGGAAATACCTAAAATTGTTTCAATATCTTTTTGCAGTCAAGAAGTCAGGCAGGCAGGTTCCTGGGGAGATGGGGACAGGACCGGTCCCTGTCCCCGTCCCCGCGGGAGCTGATGTGGCTCCCGGGTCAGCAGGGCTCCTCGCTTGGCAAGCCTGGTGCCATGTTTTCAGCTTCGGGTTATTTCAAATTTGAAGCCTGGCCAGGAGTTTGCCCCATGCTCGAGCCCCAGTGCAGGATTTGTGCTGGCTGTGCCAAGCGGGGTGTGGTGCCCGTCCCGGGGCGGCTGTGGCCCCTCGCACCCCGTGTGCCGGCTGCATCCCCGCTCTGCCCTCGTGCCTGCTGCCAGGTCAGTGATGAGCTGGACTGGCCCGTGCAGGGCTGGTGGGGGACATCCCCACGGCTCCCCAGGGGTGTGGGTCTGCACAAAGAGAGGTGTGATGGCACGGATGGGCAGTGCGGGCATCTGGCTGCGTCTCGGCTGATGCGCCCCGGGTCGGCGCTGCCTCTGTCGCGCGCAGCTCATTGGTCTCACAGGTACCTTAATGGCACAGCCCCGAGCTGATGGTACAGCAGGGATGCTCAGGTAAGTCCCAGCCATGAAACCTTTTTCAGCGATGTTTCCACACCAAGGGAAACCCTGGGGACAGGCCCATGTTTCAGAAATCACATGCAGGGCCCTTTGGATTATCTCAGGGATATGGAAATAGCTTGGTAAGAATAGAAAATAACCTTCTGCTCTCCAGCCACCAGCCCGTGCCAGGTACCCAGCCTCTCACCATCAGCCCGTGCCAGGTACCCAGCCTCTCGCCATCAGCCCGTGCCGGGTACCCAGCCTGTCCTCCTGAGGGCACCTACTGCTGCGTATTGTCAACTCACTTTCAAACCTCATCATCCATTTTTCTTGGACAAATTTTTCCAGCATAGGATTGATTTTGTAAATCAATTACACCAAGCTCATTTTCATAACAATGATGAGAAGTTGTTGATTTAAAGACGCAAACTCACAGATGAACAAAACCAGTGGAAAGGCTTGGGGTCCATTTCTAATCAAGGTCTGAACTCGACAAGAGGATTTCAAAATCCTAAATCCCAAAGATGTCAAAAATGTTGTATTGTATGAAGACAAAAAGTCATTCACAGCAGGAGATTACACTCTTACGTAAACCTGGCTTTGGGCACCAGGGTTGAGACGAGTTCAGCTACGGTCAGAAAATGCCCCAGTGCTGCTCGGGTGATCCTCCTGCTTCCCCCTGTAAAACGTTCCCCTCTTGCTCCTGCTAGCTTTAGGTCCAACTGATAATTACTGATGTAAGTGCTAATCTCATCCCTTGCCCCTTTTATACTCCTTTACAGAGAGTTTCTACTGCTGTGGCCAGAAGCTGCTTCTGCGAAAGGGGGTTGTGCCGTGGGTGTGGGAGGGGAAGTGCCGCGCTGACCTGCCTGGGCGCTGGGGGGGCTCCCGCTGGGGTGTCAGCAGGCAGCAAGCGTCCCGTCGCCTGGCTGGCTTCGCCTCGGGGACCTGCCACCTCGGTTCACATCTCGTCACAAAATGTCGCTTTGGCTTGTGCTTTTGGTTTTCATCTTCTAGTTCCGTCCCTGAGGGCCGAGCCCTTGAGAAGCGTTTCACTTAGCAGGTAGCTGCAGATGCTCAGCACCCGGCAGGACGTGGCCCTGCCTGCAAAACACGCGCGGCCAGGCTAAGGCTGCGTGGCAGAGGAGCGCGGCGTTGCGCCGTGTGCGGGGCATGTGCCCTTCCCACCGGCCGGTTTGTTCCTTGACAAGTACAAAATGCGTCCATTGTCCGGCCAGCTGCACGGCGAGGTTTATCGGCACACAGACCCGATGGGGAATGTTAAGCGGGTTAGGTGGCAGCAGCGCTATGGAAGGTGGTCACCCTCCAGGGATTAGAGGTCAGAACAATCGTCGTCCCTGTGACCAGGCAGAGACACAAAGAGCCATTGTGCCAAGAGTACAAAATCTCTGTTTATTACCACGGGGCTGACATGCTGAAAGACCCGCTCGCCATGCCAGCACAAAAGATTCCTTGCTTCACATTGTTTGTTTATGTAAATTAAAATGGTGCATTTAATTATGCAACGGGACGAGCCTCAGCAACAAGCAAGGTGCTGATTGGATCGCCCCGTGGCCAGAGCCCGCTGGCAAGCCCTCGGCACATCTGATGGTGCGATCGCGGACCCTGCTCTGCTGCAGCGGCCGCCGGAGAGGAGACGCGTGTTGACCATTTGAGCAGGGGAACAAAATCCCCTGGGGGAAAGGGGTGAGGTGTAGCACTCCCAACCCTGGGGTGCAGGAGCGGGGCCCCCGGAGGCGCACGGCCCCGGTCGGCGGGCACGGCACAGTCCTAAGCATGACAGAAGAAGTCCCAGCGGCATCTGGCATGCCCGAGTGCAATGGGAGCGTACCCCCGGAGAAGGGCCCACTCCAGGTCATTAGTGTCATCGACGAAATATCAAAATCTGTCGGGACAGTTCCTTATGTGAATGCAGAAATGAGCTCTGACGCTCCACCTGCAAAAGAAAATCAGGAGGAAAATAGAAATTCATTGGCAGAGGACATAGTACGTGGGGATTTTGATGGAGAGAAGCAACGCGAAGGTAAAGTACAAGGCTGCCTTTCTTTAAGTGTTTGGAAAGAAAAGCTCTATTTTATGTATAGCCTTATGAATAACGGGATGTACTATGTGTATTAGTCAAAATTCCTAACCTATGGTGGTTGTAACAATGACTCAGAGTAATTCAGAGTTTAGGGACAAATTTGAGCTAGCAGTTACACAGGATGCTGTGAAAAGTATGTGACTAAAGAAACAAGCAATTTTTTTATCTGCTCTGAAAAATCTGCTGCCAATCTGCAACCGTTAAAACCTAATTATTGTCACTAACTGTTCCATCAGTCCATTTCTTGTGCTTTGTATTTCCCAAAGAAAAGCGAGAGGAAAGCGATGGGATGCTACAGCAGGGATCAGCTGATATCCAGGATACAGGGACTGACAGCCACGAATCGGAGGAAGGTAATGGAAAATGCTGTGTGACATGAGGTTTTCCCGAAGCATAGCAATGAGTAGCCTTCAAAGACAATGACATACAGGTGGTTATTATTTTTCCAGATTTGGTCAGACGCTTGTATTCTGGAGAGCAGTGACTCATTTCTCATCAGTAGAGTTGCTGCACCTTAGAAAATACAGCTGGTATCTCTCTTCCTGAGGTTTGCGTGTATCTCCATTACCATGGGCTATCAAAGCACCTTGGGGTCTTCGACCAGGAGGTCTCCAACAGCCCTGTAAGTTTTACATCTGCTTTATCTTCTGCTCCATGCAAGGGAGCTCAGAGCATAACCTCGGGAGGCTGTCAGTCAAAAATATGTGGCCTCAAAACCCAAACTCTTTTCCTGCCTGATTTACCAAGTCTAAATCCCCCTGGTGCCCAAGTATCTAGCAGAAAATTGTCTGCTGTCCTAAACGTCTGCTCCTGGCTCTCTCTACTTGTTCCTAGGTAAAATTCAGTTGGAGCAAGGCTGAACCTCGTACCTGCCTCCTGCAGTGAGAAGGACTGCCTGTCCCTGGCAGCAAGTTAAAATGTATTGAATATATATACACGTAGTTGAACATATTTAATTATACTATGCAAAATGCAGCCCCTCCTCCAAAAAGGAGGAGTATTTTATTGAGTATTATTAAAGGAGCAAAGCTATGTCTCTCTGCGGGTGGGCTTTTGGCATTGCTGCCCTTCCACGTTTCCCACCCACGGGCTCTTGCCCGGCTCGTCCTTTTTGGCAACCATGGGATGAGGGACGGTTGGCCCGTGGGCTGCTAACGACATCCCCCCCCGCACTGACCCTGGCGGTGGTCGGGGTGCAGGGCTGGCGGCTCTGCCCCAGCTCCCTGGCACCCGGCCGTGCTGGATCCTTCTTGTCACTTACACATCCACCTGGCCACAATAAGTTGGTATTTTCTATATGTCAGCTGCCACATAAATATGAAACCCATCCTCAGGGAAGAGCAGATTAACAACCCAGAGTAGCTGTCGCGGTGCTGGCAAAGCTAGCGTTATTGAATGTACCTCTAAAAGACGTATGGGCCATGCCTTGTAAACAGAAACTTTATTTTGATTACGAAAAGGAAAAAATATATGGACATTTGTCATAGGCAAAATAATATTTCCTAGCAGCTGCAAAGGTTTTGAGGAGGTGAACCATGATGGAGGCTTTCCCGCTTAGAGCTGTCATCCATATTCCAGCTGTGTTGCTTTATGAGCGCACAATAAAACCTATTAAACCACCTTGCACAGCCCCCCCGCAGTCCCCCCCCCCCAGCCACAAGCACTTTATCTCTAAATTGCAGGCAGCTTTTTAGTACCTAACCAATTTAGTCTAATTAATACTCAGGACCCCACAGACAAAATGTTGAATAGACCATTTGTTGCGACACTAAAGCATCATTTAATGCAGAGACGTGCCAAACAGGACAAATAGGAGATAGCCATCTCAGCCTGGTCGGCCACCTCTGAAGAAGGGACGTGTCCCAGGAGGGCTGTGCCGGGGTCCCGCGGCATGGCCGGCACAGCTGGGCGCTGCGTGCAGAATGGCTCCTTCCCTTCCCTTCCCTTCCCTTCCCTTCCCTTCTCTTCCCTTCCCTTCCCTTCCCTTCCCTTCCCTTCCCTTCCCCTCCCGGGGAGACAGGACCCTCTGGTGCCGTGGTGGGGTCTGTCCCGTGGGGAGGGGGCAACAAATCCAGAATGGGGAGTTTGGCTAATTGGGTCCAGCACCTGCCCAAGGCAGAGAGCTTTGGGAAAGCCGTTTGGAAAGGCACCTCAGCAGGGCCCTGCAGTAGGATGTTTGCCAGCCGTGGAACTGAGAGGGCAGGAGCAGATCTGGTGCATGCAGGGGGGCAGTGCCTCTGGTCCTGGGGCGCAGCGGGGATGCTGCGCTGCTCTTCCCTCCTCGAGGCTTGACCACTGGCATCCGCGTCGCCTCTCCTTTTAAAGGAGGGTAGTGGGGATGGCTCCGTGGGAAAGGTGGTATAAAAGAGACAGGCATTAAAAAGTGCAAGGGCAGGTGGCCTTAAGCAGTGAGTTTGGCAATGTACGAAGCCTTTCTAAAGCACATGCAAGCATCCGTGGTGATGGGGGTTCAGCCTGGACACATGGGGCACTCCTCACCAGGCAGTCTCTGGAGGATGGGTGCTTTGGTGGCAGGAGCTGGTAAGTCACCAAAAGTGATGTTACCTCAAGAGCATGTACGATGGGGGCGTGAAGGCGGTGCTGAGACCGTACTCACCCGCGCTCCCTCTGTGTTGCTGCAGGGCCGGGCAGCGAGGGGACGCCTGCGGGCAGTGGGGGGGGAGAGCTG